CTAGACCTTCAGTTTCCTGAACTTAAGAATTGGCAGCAGTACCTCCAAGAGTTGTCCTGAGGATCAAAATGCAATAGTGATGTGTTTTACTGCGTGGTGTATCTGAGTTTCAAATTACTTACCACTCAGTTTTTATCCATTCTTATAAAATTGACTCTCCACTGTGATGTGCTGTGGTTTATGTTGACTTTGGGGCCCTTTGGCACAGTACCTCACACCTCACTGAGAAGGAGGAAGGATGAAATTTATAAAAGAACACATCTAGTTTCCTTTCTTGTTATTTTGTATTTCTTAACAAAATTGTATTGGCTTTAGTTATGAATATGTTTCAGGATTCAAGAACTTCAACAGGAAGTCCACCAGTTACAAGAGAAGTTAGCAGTGATGGAAAGTGGAGTGAGAGATTATAGTAAGCAGGTAGGATTTTTATTTACTTGCATAGGAGGGATCGAGATTGGTATGCTGTGATTGGAAATAGAATTGGATTGCATTTGGTATTATTGGTACTGAGTTTTTTTACAGCTTTTATCTTTTATTTTTTTTATCAATTCATTAATAGAGTTAATAGCCAGAATGGCTTAGGTGGCTTTAGAGCACTTAGGCCATTCCCTTCATTATTCCTTCAGATGAAGTAATTTTTTGTTTTGTTTTTTCTTTATGTTTTTAATTTGAGGTGAATCTCCCCAAATATAATTTTATAACCATATTATTCTTTCCATCTCAGGAGGTATTTTACTAAAGTGTGCTATGTTTTATAATTATAGTCTTATGGTTTTTAAAGTCTTATTATAGATTTTGTCATTTTGAACATAAATCTCTTTGAAAGTTATTCTCTGTGTTGCCATATTTGTGTTTTGTCAACAAGCGTAAAACAGCTTTCTACATAAGCAAGGGCATTAACAGATGCAGAGTTGTATCATAGCCGTAGCAAGTTTTGTTCTTTCGTCCTTTCTGTTGGTGTCTTGGCTAAATTGTGATTTGAGTAATTACAGGATTTCTTTCTTAAGATGCTTCCTGGAGTTTAAGCTGGGTAACACGTTTTTCATTTTCTCCACATTACTGCATTTTTTTGGAGTGAAGTGATGTGCACATACAAATAAAGATATAACTTACTTGTTGGTATAACTGTTAAGTTTGTAAAGTACTTTGAAGATTATTTGGATAAAAATGGAGTTAAGACAAAGAATATTGTAATGACAATGAAAAAAACTTTATGAAGAGATGGTGAAAATACCAAATATGCACGAGTTGCACGTTATTAGCATTTCTCAGTTTATAACCATACGTGCATCACATTTTTTTCCAAGTACTTTATGAACATAAACTGGCCAGTCTTTACCAT